CGCCAAGTTTATTTTATAGCTTTGTTTTCATTCGGAATCCAAGTTTCACACTTGCGTTCCATTCTAGCTCTAGTCTCTTTTAATCTACAATACCCACCTACTTTTTTGGTTTTGTTTTTCATGACACTGACTTTTTGGAGAGTTCAGGCCACTTGGTAGGAGATAACAATGTTTAAAGAAATGGAAACAAAGGCCAGAGTTCCTGACAACTGAGGGGCACGGGAAACTCACCAAGGGCAGCCAAGCAATTCAAAATTAACTACATCTTATAAGTTTAAGGAAAAACAGCAAAGTTCTGGTTTTCCTCACAACTTCTGCAATGCTTTTTTGGGCAGTATCAAGTTCCCTGCCTCATAAATATTGATCCCCCTGCTTTGCTGGCAAACTAAGCACGTATTTTTCCACTTTGGGGTAATACAGCACAGCTCAGGAGTGGAGACCAAGCCTGCATCTTGAAGAAGAGTAGAAGTTTGCCACACAGGGACGGGTAATAATTTCAGGAAAAGGAAACAACAGTAAGAAATGAAAACTCATCTGTGAAATTCTGTATTACCTTCAAAACTTTTCTGCAAATCTAAAACTATGCTAAAATAGAAAGTTTATGAAAAGAAAGTCATCCACAAGAATTTAGATCAAGATAATTAAGCACAATGTGTCAGAGTAACAAAAAATATAATTGAAAAAAGGAAAAAAAACAAGAGCCTTGCATGCATGCCAAGTCTGGCTTTAGAATACACATTCTTTTCTCCAGTGCACATGGAACATTCTCCAGGATAGTTCATATGTTAGGCCACAAAACAAATCTCAACAAATGCAAGAAGACAGAAATTACATTGCCCTGGCTGGTGTGGCTTAGTTGGTTAAGCATCAGCCCGGGAACCGAGAGGTCGATGGTTCAATTCTGGGTCAGGGCACATGCCCGGGTTGTGGGGTTGATCCCTGATGGGGTGTGTGCCAGAGGCAACAGATCACGTCAATGTATCTTTCTCCCCCTCTCCATTCCTTTCTCTCTAAAATCAGTATTTTAAAAAATAATAATTTAAAAAATAAAAAATATTTCAAAGGAGATCTTTTAAAAAAAATTCTATCAAGTATCTTTTGCAACCACAATGGTGTGAAACTAGAATTCAATTAACAGGAGGACTAGAAAACTTATGAATATGTGGAAATTAAACAACACACTCCTGAACCGATCAACCAAAAAACAAATCAAAAGGAAAATTTAAAAAAATATCGAGACAAATGAAAATGGAAACACAACATACCAAAACTTATGGATGTAGCAAAAGCAGTTCTAAGAGGAAAGTTTATAGCTACACATTATTAAGAAAAAATACCTCAAATAAACAACCTAACATTACACCTCAAGAAACTAGAAGAGTAAACTAAGCCTAGAGTTAGAAGGCGGCAGGAAATGAGAGCGGAAATAAAGGAGAATCTAGAGTAGGGGATAAACAGTGGTGGTCTGGGACAGAGCCAGCGGAAGTGATGGAAACAAGTTAAGAACTGTTTGGAGGTGGAATCTGGGACCTCAGGCACCTTCCTTGCTGCTAACACCCAACTCTGCATAAGATTACCTGCCTTCTAAACTAGACTGGTGCGTCAGTATCCTACACCCACTGACGTCTTTACTTTAGTCTGGGAGGAAGATGATCAGGTTCCCAGAAGCCCCCCTGACCCTGCAAACACAAGCAGGACAGTATTTTATAAAATGCTTTATTTTATGAGTGGCAGCCCCAAAGCCCACCTCACACATACACATCCCGTCTTTGTCTTTATCACATTTCCAAAAGGGAGTACATGTCAGGATGTCATCCATCCCCAGACACCTGACTCACACAAAGAAGAGACAGGAGGGACCCATCACATACACCAAGCTATCGCAACACCTCTTTCACTGTTTCTGCTCAGTCTGGAAGACTCACCTGAAATTATTTTAAGATTTTCTATTATTTGCAATGTTATGGAAAAGTAAATTTACTGAAACTCACAAGATGAACTGTGAAGAAGTTTGTTTTGTTTTCCTTTTTTATTTTAGATTCTTGTTAGCAATACATTAGCTTCAATAGAAAAAACCACCATTTACACAGTAACTCAAAATCCAGCCACTTAAGAAAATAACGTAGAGAAAATAACCCCTCATTTGATTCGACTGAAAAGCCCAGGTTTATCCTGAACTTTCAGAGACTCTGTGTCCTAAATGGATAATTAAGCATTCAAGTAAAAGGTAAGGGGTTTTAAGTGTGCGTTTCTGAAGGATACTGGCCCAAGAGAAATTCAGGAGTAGCCACAGTTCTCCAGTTTACTCCAGTAGTGGGATGTTTCTGAGATGGCCAGCATGGTTTCCTTTTGAGGAGTTTTGACAATTCATCAGCCTCAAGATTCAGGTCTCATTCTTCCACATTAAAAAAGACTTTGTTCCACAGGAATAAGTTTTTCATCGCTTCTCCAGCTTCTTGTATTTGGCTTCTGTGCAGCAGGCGGGGGGGAGGGGAGAAATTGTATTTAAAACTGGCTCTTACAAAGATATTTTTTCATTAGCACTTCCTAGCAAGCTAAAATATGTCTGTTACATTTTTTAAAAATGTATTGGCTTCAGTCTCATCAGCTGTTCAAACTGTGTCCAAATTGTAGGCACACAATAAATGTTAACTACCGCATTAGCTAAGGACAGATATTTGGATATCTATCAAAATTTTATTGATAGGCATAGGTTAAGGTAAGAAGTTAAATACACACACATAAAGGACCCAATACAAGTTTACTATGTTCTAACCCTGTCAACAGCGCCTCCTTGGATGGTTCCACCAGGAGTAAGCAGATCTACTGGCACTTGAGCCACCAGGAGCATGAGAAATTGCCTCTCCAGGCACTGCACCAGGCACCCTCTGGGAGCTGGACTGGAATTCTCAGGAAGTATAAATGTATGTTTCACCTTTTATTTTCTTATCCCCGGAAAGCAATTTTGAAAGATATAAAGATCTAAAAAATCATCAAATAGGCTTTCTAATGTAATGAATTCCCTTTTTCTTTAAAACCTTAAAAGCACCTTGGTACAATGCCTTCTATATAGTAAGGTTCACAGTCACCATTCAGTAAATTTAATTGTAGACAATGAAACTGTTAATCATCACCCACATCAAATCTCAGTCTGCTATAAACCACTCTCTTGAAGTAGTCAACAATTGTCAATGATGAAAATTATATCTAGGATAAAAACAACTTTGTTATTTTTAGTCATAGATATGAGCCAGACCAGTTAGCAAGCCATCAACACTAAAAGTACAGCTTCCACCTTAAAGAAAAAGTAATATTTCAAGAAAGCCCTTGACTGACTACTCTGTTTTTTAAGACATATGTATCTACATTATTAAAGATGCTCTAGCTCTAGCCTGCTGAACCACAGTTAAAAGCTTGAGCTCTATAATCAATCAGACCTGCTTTGGAATACAGCTCTTCCACATACTAGCTTTGTACCTTTATGTAAGTTATTTAACCTCTTCAAACACAACCTCCTCTATAAAATGGGGATAAAATCCTGTACTTACCTCATAGGTTACTGGAAGGATAAACAACAGTGTATATGCAAAGCTTAAGAACAGCGCCTGACATAGCAAGTACCCAGGAAATGTTATTTGTATTACTACTGCTGCTACTAGATTATTCTCGCTAGGTTTTTGTGAAGATTAAAATAGATCACTGTAGCCCTGGCTGGATGGCTCCGTTGGTTAGAGCATGTCCTGTGCTCCAAAAGGTTGTGGGTTTGATTCCTGGTCAGGGCACGTATGTAAGTTGCAGATTCAATCCCCAGTCGAGCCCAGTATGGGAGGCAACCAATCCATGTTTCTCTCTCATATCAATGTCTCTCTCTCATATCAGTGTTTCTTTCTCTTTCTCTCTCTCTTTCTCTCCCCCGCTTCCTCTCTCTAAACAGATCCTTGGGTGAGGATTTTAAAAAGACCATTGTAGGTACATCATAAATATTAACAATCATATTGGCTAAGGTCATGCTGGCAGGTACTCTTATTAAATGAAAACAGAAATAAAAATAGTTACCCAGTTTTTTTGAATATGCATCCAACTTGTAGGCTGCCTGTTCAAGAGCTGCTACCTGCTCCTCAATTACATTGATTTGATCCAGATAAGGCTGTAGTTCAGCATCTTGAAAAACAAAGACAGACCACATGTTTATATGGTCTCAACAAGTTGAACAGAAAATAGTGAAAAGTAAAAATGCTAGTGTCTCTCCAGCTCTGCCTAAGACACACAAGGTGGGAGGCCATGATTCTGATCATTAGCAGGACAAATGCTTTACAAGACAGTAGCTAGCTGATCAGGCATGACTGTGACCTAAACAAAGCAAGTCTCTTTCATCCATTAACTTTGTCTCTTTTAAATTCCTTGTTCCTCAAACAATCTTTCCTTCCATTACTGATTCCATTTCTTGGGTATTCCCGGACCAAGAAAGGGATAGAGAACACAAATATAAGCTAATGGGAAAAATATTCTACCAGTCTAAATTAGCAATTTCCATTTATAGAGGTTCTGGTTTTCTGTTTACAGCGTAGTCCTTTATGGATTTCATTGTTAAATCAATTCACTGATTTCATTGTTAAATCAGAATCTGGCCACACTTTCTTTCCCCCATCCCTTTCCAGGAATAACCTGATCAAATCAAGATTTAGAAGCAGAAATAACCATACCACCAAAACATGCTGCTCCTCAGAATGGAAGAAATTCACCTTAACTTTGTAATTCACTTTTAGAAAATGAGCTCCCTGAGTACAGGGGCCATGTTCCCTCTCCTTCTCCATGGCCCCAAGCACAAAAGAACATTTATTACAAACATGTTTAATTATAAAAATTATTACTTACACTTCTGGTTTAAGTCCTTTAAGTTTCTACTAATGTTTATAGCAATATCTTTCATTTCAAGATACTTCAGGCTGGTTAATTTATTCATATTTTCCAGGAGCTTATAGTCTTCACTGGTGGCTTTAAAACAAACAGAAGATAAAATGCTTTTAATATCTATCTTATATCATTGGAATGTGGAATTAGAGGCCAAGTGGTAGTTCAAGGCAGGATCTAAGGAATGTCAAAGGAGGAAGCCACTTTTGATCTAAGACGTTTATACTCAGCCTGTGTACTCTGAATGTCTAAGTAAAAACTCAGGCAACAATCAGCAAACTATTTAAACCAAGTAAGTCCATAAACTTCAGGATCTGGGTTAGCAAGGGATATGATAAACTATGTCCTGAGAAAAGAGAAGTGAAATAGTCTTGGTATTTCTAGTGTGAAAACATGTAAATTGGGGAACTGTGTCATATATATAAATAAATATAAAACTAGGACATCACTTCTTAGTAACTCACTTATTACTGTGTGATTCTATATTGCATTTTATGCACTGACTTTTCCAAACCATTTGCCTGCTTCTCATATCCTCAATTCTCTTCCCCATCCCTACTCAAAGCACATGGCTTCTACTCCAATTTTCCAGAAAGCCAAGCCCACTTACATAAGCTTTTTGCCTCACTTCAAAATTTCTCTGTACCTTAATATCTTCCCAAGAGGCAGAAGTGCTCCTGTTCCTGCCAAGACAACAACTCCTGCTGTGCTCTTGATCTCCAATTCTTCTACCTCTTCGGGGCTTCTCTTCAATCATCTCCTTTCTCTTGTATTTCCAAACTCTTTCCACCCTGGATCTTCCTCTCTATCTAGAAATATATTCAGGTTTCCTCCAGTCCAAAAGCATTCATTTGCTCAGAAAAGCAAAGGAAGTTCACTGCTAACCCTTTTGAAAGAGTAGCTTACACTCACTGCTTCCTCTTCCTCACCATTCACCCACGTGAATCCTTGCAGTCTGGCCTCTGTCCCCACCATCTTGAGAAATTACATGTTCCAAGGTCATCAGTGCTCTCCTAACCATGAAATCCATAGTTATTCTCCTGAACCTCGCTATAGTATCTGACACTATGATCTCCCTCTCTTCAGGAAATTCTCCCTTGGCTGCTAGAGCATTGTACACTGTGTTACACTGATTTTTAAATCTCCTTCTAATGGTTCTTTTTAGGTTTCTATCCAGATCCTTTTTAACCCAACATCCTTAACTATCGGTTCTCAGCTTTTCTCAGCAGTGACATATAACTGATGTTTATATGAGTGGCACAGTCCCATGGCATTCCCATTGTGCTCCCTTTCAAACTCAAAAAAGCATTTGTGCAAGTAAGAATGACAATCGGGGGAAATTACAATCTGCTTAATATTAATTTTATTAATCATTTGAAAACCTGGGTACTTTAAATACTGTTATTAAAAACAAATTAATTGCCCTATACCAGCATTCCCTGAGATTTTAGTCAAGGCGCTCTTATCTACCTCTAAGCTCTTCTTTGCCAATCTCATCCTGCACAGCCTCAGCTCACAGCACTATCCAGGTGGCTCCCAAATCAGTTTCTCCTATTCTGATCACTCTTTGAACTCTGGACTCATGTGTGCAAGTCACCTAAGTCTTAATAATAGTCAACTGAGTGTCTTGGTAATATCTAAAATCAGCCAAACCATACCTGAAAATATTATTTTCACACTAAACATGGTTCCTCTTTCCAAGTTCCCTATTTTGGTTGATGGTAACACCCAGGCTTAATAGCTCAAACACATCCATCTTAAGTTACTCCCATCCCCCAATACCCACTTTAACAAGTTCTAAAAATTCCACTTTTGTAATGTTCTTGCACCCATGACCTCCTTTCCATTCCTTTACCACCCCTCTGTCATAGACCACCATTACTTTTCACCTGAAATACTGTTCATCTGTTTCCATCTCTCTCCTCCATAGCCATAGTCTCTACTATCAAATTAGTCTCTTTAAAACAGACACTCAAATACTTAGGAGCCAGCCAGATCATGTAAATGAATGAAGCAAGTCAGGTGTTTGCATATTAAACACCTACGAAAGCTCACTTCCACAAAGAATATGCTCTCTCCCACTTCTTGGAATATGTGGTCCTCTTATTCTATCACTTACTTTACCAATTTTAATAGAGATATTGGTGCAGAAAACCACTTCTGCACCAGTACTAAAAACACAATATAAGAACAGTTGCAAGTGGCAACTGACACTAGGTCTCAGTAAAAGGGAATGTAGGGAGAAACTGCGCAGCACTAGTCCATTTAAAGGAGACAGCTGCTCAGCTCTAATCAATCATAGCCTCACAAGAATGGAAGACTATTATTGCCAAATCTTTAGAATTTTTAAAGAAAAGCCCGAAATCTAGATTTTCTTATTTGGTTTCTCTTGCTCATAGATAGACAAAATGATGGGTAATCAGACTGAGAGAGACAAGCCCTTCTATTGTGCATCAGGCCTTTTCTCATAGATTCTGGCTCCCAAATTTAGCTCACAGCAATTTCCAGTGGAAGTAAAACAATATAATTAACTGCTTATGAGAGGCCACACTGGACCAGACTTCACCTTTTGGACCCTCCTCCACACATATATCATGTGGAGATACACCATGAACCAAAAACTTAATCATGTCCCAAGGGGTGAGTCACCAAATCCTCAAACCAACCTAATCGGTACCTAAACCTGCAGGTCACTCCCCATTCCCCAATCCCCAATCCCTTTTCTCTTCGCCCCAGTAAATAACAGTAGTGTGTTAGCCAAACACACTACTCACTAATTCCACTTCACTCACTCACTAGTTGGGGCAATCCACTTTTGGGGCAATCATTCCCTTCACAACCCTGCTTAAAATACTCTTCCCCCAAGGAAGCACTTCTTGATGAATTCTTTTTTGTTTTCTCAGCGATAGTCTGCAATACGGAGACCTATAGAGTTGTATTAAGTTCTTATGTGTTTCTAAAGATAGTTCGTGAATTCCTCCAGGGAAGGAATGGACCCCTTCCCATTCATGATGGCCCCCAACTTCCAACAGGCAGTTTCAGGGCGGGGCGGGGGGCGCTGGCCGATGCTGCTGAAGCACCTCCCAGGTCTCCCCAAGCCGGACCGCAGCTCCAGCGCGGGGTGCACCGCACCACCCGAATCAACCCAGACCCCGCCTCACCGGTCAGTTCCCCAGTCAGGTAAGTTGCCATTTTGGAGAACATGTCCCGACAGAGCTCCGTGATGTCAGCTTCCGCGGGCTCCTTCGCCTCCTCGGCCGTCTCCACGGCGGCATCGTCTGGATCAAGGGAGAATGACTAAGTGTCCCGCCCACACGCGGTCCTAATCCAGCCACAGCATCGGCTCCCCACATCCCTCCACCTGTCCTCACTCGACCGAGTCGGCGAAATTCTCCCTGTGCCATAATTTCCAGCCCCTCACTTCGTCCTCGCTCCTCTGTCACATCAACTCTGCTCCCTGCACCGGCTTCAGCTCGCTCGCGATTCCGCGGCCAAACCGTCTCACTCGCCGGGACCGAACACGGGACACACACTCGCACACACAGCTCCGCCCCTCCGCCCCGCGCGCTCCTGCCAGGCGAGCCCCGGCATCGGGGCCGCAACCCGGGGCCCCGGGCCTCCCCCTGGACACTTCAGCCCCATCCACTCGGCGCACCTCTC